CCAGCACACATAAACAATAATGCTTTAAATAAAGCATGAGTTAATAAATGAAAAAAAAGCTAATTTATAAAATCCTATAGATAAAATTCTCATTATTAACCCCAATTGACTTAAAGTAGATAATGCAATAATTTTTTTTAAATCAAATTCAAAATTAGCTCCTAACGCTGATATAAATATTGTCAATCCTGAAATTAATAACAATCCTTGTCCTATAATTGTGCCCCCAACTAATAAATTAAACCGAATTAATAAATAAACTCCAGCAGTAACAAGAGTAGATGAATGCACCAAAGCTGATACAGGAGTAGGAGCTGCTATTGCTGCAGGTAATCAAGCTGAAAATGGAATTTGAGCTCTTTTAGTTATTGCAGCTAATACAATTAATACCCCAATAATCAATATATTTATATCTGAAACATTAAATTTTAATAAAAAAATGTAATTTCGAGATCCATAATTTAATATTCAAGCAATTGCTAATAATAAAGCAACATCTCCAATACGATTTGATAAAACAGTTAATATCCCCGCATTATAAGATTTTACATTTTGAAAATAAATTACTAATAAATAAGAAACTAATCCTAAACCATCCCATCCTAATAAAATTCTAACTAAATTTGGAGAAATAATTAAAAATATTATTGATATAACAAATAACAAAACTAATAAAATAAATCGATTAATATTTATATCTCCTGCTATATACTCTTTTCTATAATAAATTACTAAAGACGAAATTAATAAAACAAAAGATATAAAAATTAATCTTATTCAATCAAATAAAAAAGTTATTACAACTCTAATTCTATTTAAAGAAATTAACTCTCATTCTAAAAAAATTGAATAATCATGATTAATAAATATTAAACCAAAAATAAAAGAAATAATTCTTAAATTAATTAATAATCAAAATCTTATTCTACATAAAGATAAATTTTTCACAATTTAAAATAAAATTTTATATTTTTGACACCACAAATCAACGTTTTAATTAAACTATTTAAATATAATCAAAAAAAAATTATTTCACTTTTTATAATCAATAAATTTAAAGGAACTCAATGTAACAATAATAATAAAAATTCTCGTATGTTATTTATTCTAAAAGAATAAACCCCTGAATAAAATTTTCCATGTTGTCTATAAGAATACAAATATAAAGTATATGCTGCTCTAAAAAAAGATAAAAATGATAAAGTAATCATTGAATACCAAGATCAACTTACAATTCTATTTATTAAAGAAATTTCCCCTAATAAATTTAATGTAGGAGGAGCAGCTATATTTCCAGATCTCAATAAAAATCATCACAAAGTTAAAGAAGGTATAAAATTTAATAACCCTTTATTAATTAATAATCTTCGTCTACCTAATCGCTCATATCTAATATTAGCTAAACAAAATAAACCTGAAGAACATAACCCATGACCAATTATTAATCTATACCCTCCACAAATTCCTCAATTTCTTAAATTTATAATTCCTGCTAAAACAATCCCTATATGAGCAACAGAAGAATAAGCAATTAATGACTTTATATCAACTTGACGTAAACAATTTAAACTAATCAAAATCCCTCCAATCAAAGAAATTCTAATGAAAAAATAATTAAATTTTAAACAAACAAATGAAATAAATGAAAATACTCGTAAAAGTCCATATCCTCCTAATTTCAATATAATTCCAGCCAAAATTATTGAACCAGAAATTGGAGCTTCAACATGAGCTTTAGGTAATCATAAATGTACCAAAAATATAGGCATTTTAACCAAAAAAGCTAAAATTATCGAAAAATATAATAACTCATAATTAAACATATAATTACTTAAAAAATAAAAATTTAAATTTCCTAATTTTTCATATAAATAAAAAATTCCAATTAATATAGGTAAAGATACAAATAAAGTATAAAACAATAAGTATTTGCCGATTTATTTTATTAGTTTTGTTATTTGTTATATCAATAATATTTTTAATTATTTCTCCAAATTTAGTTAGAATTTTATTAGGATGGGATGGTTTAGGATTATTTTCTTATTTATTAGTAATTTATTTTCAAAATATAAAATCTTATAATGCGGGGATATTAACTGTTTTATCAAATCGTATTGGAGATGTTGCTTTATTATTAGCAATTGCTTGAATATTAAATTATGGATCTCGAAATTACATTTTTTTATTAAAATTTAATGTTTCAGATATAAATATATTGATTATTGGGGTATTAATTGTATTAGCTGCAATAACTAAAAGAGCTCAAATTCCATTTTCAGCTTGATTACCTGCAGCAATAGCAGCTCCTACTCCTGTATCAGCTTTGGTGCATTCATCTACTCTTGTTACTGCTGGAGTTTATTTATTAATTCGGTTTAATTTATTAGTTGGGGGCACAATTATAGGACAAGGATTGTTATTAATTTCAGGATTGACAATATTTATATCAGGGTTAGGAGCTAATTTTGAATTTGATTTAGAAAAAATTATTGCATTATCTACTTTAAGTCAATTGGGGTTAATAATGAGAATTTTATCTATAGGATTTTATAAATTAGCTTTTTTTCATTTATTAACTCATGCTTTATTTAAAGCATTATTGTTTATGTGTGCTGGGGCTATTATTCATAATATAAATAATTTGCAAGATATTCGTTTAATAGGAGGATTAAGAAGTTATATACCTTTTACATGTAGATGTTTTAATGTTGCTAATTTAGCTTTATGTGGAATACCTTTTTTGGCTGGATTTTATTCTAAAGATATAATTTTAAAAATTGTGTCATTGAATTATGTTAACTAGGGTCGCCAGTGGTCGAAATTCGACCAATAGAAAATACAATTTATTTATTTTAATAGTATTTAAATTTTATTGATGAATTTGATTAAAATATGAACAAAATCTAAAGAAAGTTGTAGAAAACAATTTAAAAAATAAATTAAAATTTATAATTTCATCTCGTGCAAAATTATTTGTTGTGTTTCTGGTTTTTGGCTTAATTCTTCCTTGTATTATCAATCCAATCAAATCGTTTAATTTAAATTTGTCGTCATATGTGACCACATATGCACCTGCGAAAAAAGAAAATAATTAGTATAAAATATGAAATATGATGAATTGTTTGAATGAAATACCGATAAAATTTCGAACTGATGCTCCATTTTGAAATCTTTTCAACAAATAAATTATCTTAACATCTGCTCCGTACATTTGTTCTTCAGGTGATATCGGAAAGTTATCAGTATAGGAATCAGCAATTTTGTAGAACAGCACCTTCTTCTAAAGAAATTCGAAATTCTGACGCAATTTATTGCGTCAATTTATTGCATAATTTCGACAATGCGACTTTGCACAACATCTCGCTCCCGTGTTAATTATCAAACAAATTCCTATACTCTGCCATCACGAAATCAAATCGCGGTATGCAGTGAAGGCAAGAAACAAAGAAATGAAATTGGCAAATGAACGAATGAAAAAAATTAAATATTGAAAAACATTCAAACTGAATGAAATCTAAAATGATAATAATCTATATATAATTACGCTAACATAAAAGTTTGTTACCCCGTTTTAATTGTGTTGCCGTTGACATATATGGATAAAATTTATACCGTTGGAAAGGTGAAGACGTGCAGAAGAGCACAACGTTATTTTTTCGCATGTACGTTAACGGAAACACAGGTAAAAATGCGTTGGCGTAAATTTAGCGACTACAACAACAAAATACATGTGTTTTTCAAAGTTTTTTTTTGTGACGAATTGTTAATTGTTTACGGTGGATTTGTGTGTACGATTTTTTTCCATTTTTGGAAAAAAGTGGACTTTGTGTGTTTGGACTTTATGTGTTTGGACTTTGTGGATTCTGTTACAATCAGATTTTTAAAGCTCATTAAATTTCAAATATTGTTTGTGAATAAAAAAAACGCATTGAAGTGAAAATATCCTTTGATATCAATCGTTTTATTTGCATTGTGTGATAGTTAAATTTTAATTGTGATAAATTTTAATTTTGATAAATTTTAATTGTGATATATTTTAATTGTGAAATGTGGATAGTTAAGGTTAATGAGTTTGAAATTTTTAGATTTATTTCAAGTGTATTGTGTGATAGTTAAATTTTAATTGTGATGAATTTTAATTGTGAATTGTGTGATAGTTAAGGTTAATTAATTGGTTGAATCGACATTAACAACACTTCAATTCGAGAGATATTCATTTTGTACAATGAAAGAACATTATGATAGAGTATGCAATGCACAAAAAGAGATTTGTATGGCAATTATCGTGAATCGTGATACAGATATACGAAGATATAATATTTACGACTATAGATGGTGAACCACCATTTGAGAGAAATATGATATCTTTTTTAAAAACAAATGGTGTAGTTAAGAATGTATTTGGAATGCTTTGGAACCATTGGCATATCCTTTACTATTCCCAAATGGAGATTTTGGTTGGCACGTTAATATATCGCATAACGTGCAACATAATTCTAATGGTAGGCAGATTCGAAATAAAGTTACAATGTTACAATTTGCATGCTTCAGATTTGCAATAAGGGATCAATTTAGCTTTTTGCATAAATCGCAAAAACTATTTTTGCAATACATTGTTGATATGTATGTGAGAATAGAAGTATGTCGACTACATTTTATAAGACAGAATCAAGTAAATTTGAAGGCAGATGTGTATAACAATATTAGTGATTATTTGCAAACGAATCAAGTAGGAGATGGTAGCTTAGGTCGTAAAGTGATTTTGCCTTCATCCTTCACTGGGTCTCCGAGAAACATGTATCAAAATTACTTAGATGCAATGTCAATTGTTCAGTACTTCGGCAAGCCATCGCTTTTTGTTACAATGACTTGCAATCAGAATTGGGCGGAAATTGTATATAATATTGATCCTAATGAATCATCTCATTTCAGGCCTGAAATAGTTGTGCGTGTATTTAAATCGAAGTTAAAAGAACTCATTTCTGACATTTGGAATAAATATATTTTTGGCAAAGTTGAGGCTCTTATATATACAATCGAATTTCAAAAAAGAGGTTTGCCTCATGCTCACATTTTGATAACTTTATGTGAAAATGACAAAATTGTCGGGCCGGCTGCTATTGATAAAATAGTTTGTGCAGAGATACCGGATAAAAATTTGCAGCCAAAATTACATGAATTTGTTGTCAAACAACATCATGCGGTGTTTTGAATCCAAGCTCTGTATGTATGCAAGATGGAAAATATTCAAAACAATTTCCAAAGGATTTTGTACAATTAACGAAAGAATCAGTTAATGGTTATCCGTTGTATAGACGGCGCGATAATAATGTTTCCGTTGATGTTAGAGGAAAGTCTTTAGATAATCGTTATGTCGTTCCATACAACCCGTATTTGTTTGCAAAATATAATTGTCACATTAATGTCGAGGTGTGCACTTCCGTCAAAAGTATTAAGTACATATATAAATATGTATATAAGGGTTTTGATAGTGCAACTGTTTTAATTCAAAATGAAAGCACAAACGAAAATGACTAACAAGTACAAGTTGAAGTAGATGACGTTAGAAATTTTTTGAATGGTCGATATGTGGGATCAACTGAGGCTATGTGGCGAATATATGAATTTCCTATGCATTTTCAGTCTCATATTATAATTCGTCTTCACATTCATTTGACACAAAGACAAAATATTATATTTCGCGAAGACCAAGAAAGACAAGCAGTAGAAAATCCTAAGCTTACGAAGCTATTAGCTTTCTTCCAATTGAATCAAAGTGATTCATCTGCTAATCAATATACGTATATAGAAATTTCATTGCATTATGTTTGGATTGATAGTAGAAAATCTTGGCAAAAAAGACAACGAGGAGGAGATAAAATTATTACTCGGATGTATATGGTGTTTCCCAAAGAAATTGAGCAATTCCATTTAAGATTACTTTTGTTGCATGTAAAAGGGCCAAAATCATATGAAGATGTGCGTACATTCAATGGAATTGTTTATAGGACATTTATCGAATCATGCGTCCAATTATAACGAGTGGAGAGTTTCTCTCAATGAAGCTAAGACATTTAACTCAGGAAAACAAATGCGTAATTTGTTTGCGATTAATTGTGGCTTCAATATTCCAGCAAATGCATTAGCGCTTTGGGTGGAATTTAGAGATCATTTAAGCGAAGATTTCGTTAGAGATGGTTGTAGTGTAGATGTTTCTTTTAATAGAGTATTATTGGAAATCGAGGATATTTTGTTAACACATAATGTTACATGTACGTCACTTGGTTTGCCTACACCTACAATAATGCCAGAATTTGCTGATCTCAATATTTTTGATCCTTTCGTAGAAGAATGTTTATTTAATGAGCTTTATGATTGCGCAAATAATGAACAGCGTGATACTATTGATAAAGTTATTCGTGAAGTTCAGTATCACGATACAGGATCAAATGTGTTTTGTTTGACAGCCCATGCAGGTTGTGGGAAAACATTCACACAAACGGCTATAATTCGTAAATTAAATTCCCTTAATCTTCGCTGTATTTCGTGTGCATTTAGTGGAATTGCTTCCACT